AGTTCGCGCTCGTCGCGGGCCGGGCTGCAGTTCCCCGTGGGCCGCGTGCACCGGCTGCTGCGCAAGGGCAACTACGCGGAGCGGGTGGGCGCCGGCGCCCCGGTGTACCTGGCGGCCGTGCTGGAGTACCTGACGGCCGAGATCCTGGAGCTGGCGGGCAACGCGGCCCGCGACAACAAGAAGACGCGCATCATCCCCCGCCACCTGCAGCTGGCCATCCGCAACGACGAGGAGCTCAACAAGCTGCTGGGCAAGGTGACGATCGCGCAGGGCGGGGTGCTGCCCAACATCCAGGCCGTGCTGCTGCCCAAGAAGACCGACAGCCACAAGGCCAAGAGCAAGTAAAACAAATCCGAGGAGCGCTCCCACCTCCAAAGTAACCCAAAGGCTCTTTTTAGAGCCACCCACTTTTTCATAAAAGGAGCTGTAGATCCTAAAACTTCAAAGCCAACTAAACAATCTATTTTGGTGTTGAAAATTTTATCGTGTTTAGCGTTAAAAAAAATAAAGTTCAAGAAAAAAATAAAAAAAAAATTGGCTTCAACATTGCAAAATAAACTGTTAATTGCTGGTAACTACGTGCTAAAAATAGGATTTATTCCCCATGAAAGGGGCTGTCTCGCTCTGGTCGGGGCGAGAAGGACCCGAGGTAGGAGGTTGCTGCAGGAGGGAGCCCCCGGCACCCACCAGCTGCTCCTCTGGGCCCGGCCCAAAGTGAAGTGGAGGTAACTCACTGACACCTTCAAAAACAATTCCACACCATCTCTATAAACAACCTCTTGACCTACAGACGTTGTCCCTTTTTTTTTTTTTTTTTCCATAACAATAGGCATTCTGAATTATTAATTTTTAATATGCTTTTCTCATGGCTTTGTCTGAGCTGCCGTGCCCGTGTTCTGCCCAAGCGCTGGCTGGGTTTGGGAGGAATTGGTAATGGCTGGACAGGTAATTCGGGGTAAAAAAGACTGTTGCCAGTTCTGATTTTTACCTAATATATAGTGCTGAACATTACCACAGAGATGTTGAAATAGAAACAGAAAATCAGTGGTTAGAGGTCAATAAACACATTTTAATAACCATCCATTTGAAAACATAAATTATTTGAGTTGTAACACAGTACAAAATTTTAGTTCTGCTGCCAGTTGCAGTCACAAGCAGTAACAGTTTACAGGCCTTTGGCAGAACAAAGGGTTGTAGTCAACAATGAAAATATCAGCGAATACTTGTTTTAATTCTCTATGTTATAAAAAAATAAAATGCGTTTATTTTTAACTTGTTTAAGCGTGGTCTTGGTAAAGCACAGATGAAGACTGTCCACCTCTCACTCGCCACCAGTCATTTTGGCACAACAGATACATCGCTTGGATAAGTTATTTTTAATATTGCTTCCATAGCAGGAATCGGTCACTGGATGTAAAAAAAAATGGATATTTCGCAATCTGCTGTGAAAGGGGAGCCCGAAGTGATAACTTGGGCAAGTTTTGTTGTGCAGAAGTATGGGGTGGGAAAAAAAAAAATCAGCTGCAGGAGTGTCTCCTTAGATAATGCCGACTCAGATTTTCACCAATCAAACTGTATCAAAATAAACACGCTGCTCAATTATAAAGCGATAGGGCACTGATTGTAATTGTTATCAAAAGCTGGCCGTGTTAAGTTCTCATGTCGCCTAATTTATTAAGAAAATAACGATTTCTGCAGCAGAGCACTGGGAAACCATGTCTGTATTGTGCACCCTGAGTGACACAGTATGAGCTGCTCTGCTGTGAAGAGTCACCTCCTTCTGGGGCACAGACAGCCCTTTGCGGGACTTTAATCTGCTTCTCGCCTTGTTGCATGATGCCGTAATTTCATTTATTTTAATTATTTTGAAAAGGGTAAAGGATTTTGGACAGAGGAGCTAATTTCTAATCCATATTCAGTGCTCAAGATGAGCCTGTGTTACTTCCTCCTCTTTGAAATCAATTTGCGATTAAGATATCGGTTCAAATCCCCCATTTTCAGTTCAGATTGAGAGAAGACCCTTTAAAGAATAATAATTAATTACTTTGGAGATTTAGCTGCCCACGTCGCGGATTTTATTTAGAAGGAAAAACAAAAGTTTCTGCCTCCTGAGGTCTGCCCAGGTCCAGGACTCGGGGTTTATCGCCTCTTTTTTAACCCACCCTTCGCCTCTCCGGAGGGAAACTTCGCCGAGGGGAACGAGAGTCTTCCTCCTCCACGCCGCTGCCAACTCGGGGCGGGTGGGCGGCGGGAATTCTGATAAAAACCGGCTTTTTCGACTCCTAAGAAACACAAAATGAGCGGGGAGAAAGGGACCTTTCTGCCGTGCAGCGGGGCGGGCGCTGCAGCGCACCAATCACCGCCCGACTCCGCTCTATAAATACGAGGCCGCCGCGTTGCTCCAGGCCCAGTGGTTTCCCCCGATT